AAATCGCGAATTTATTCGGCACTATTGGGCAGACAGTGGCGCGGATGGAAGGGTGGGACTAAAAGAGATGACCAAAAATTTTATTTCAAATAAAGTTTTAAAGTTTTTCTTTTAAAAATGTAAAATTTTTTCAAAAAATATATTTTTGTTTAAATTAATAAATAATAAGAAACTTTTTCTTAAAAATATAGCTTATAATTTATTTTTTAATAAATTTCAAAAAATAAATTTCAAAAAATAAATTAATGTTGATTTTAATGATCTGCGCACTATTGGACAAACAGTGCCACCGAAAGGAGGGTGGAACTAAAATAGATGCCAAAAACATTTTTTTGTCTTCGAATTAAATCATGATTTTTTTTATATGTGCCTTATAAAATAATTTTTTTTTTCGATTTATTTCAAATAGTATTTTTTGGTCGATTTAAATAAAATAGGCACTATTAATATTATATAGATTGAAGGTTGGTGCCAAAATTGATGAAAAAAAATTAATGAAACTACAATGTGGGTTTTTTAAAAAAATGTACCTTACAACATATTTATTTTCGAATCTTTTTCAAAAAAATATTTTGGGATCGATTTTATTAAAGATATTTAAAGATATAACAATTAAATTTGAAAATTTTTTAGCATTTTTCTGTGAGTAGTTGCTCAATTGTTTTTTTCCTTTTTAATTTATTTTTAATATACTTTTTCGACGAGTTGCGTGTATTTAACCATTTTTCAAACTTCAATAATAAAAATATTGTTTTTTTACTTACTACGTAATTGATCTTAATAAATCTTTCTTAAGAAATATATAAAAATTTAAGTTATAAGTTAGTATATAAGTTTGAGAATTTTAATTAATACAAAAAAAATTTATTGTAAAAAAAAAATTTGTCCAAATTTTTTTAAAAAATATTTAAATAAAATTTATTTAAAATGTATTTATTTATAAAAACATATTGAAAAACAATTTAAAAAATAATATTTTTACGTAAGGGAGACAGCTTTAATTTTTCTTTAATTTTCTGTGTAATGAATCCAAAGAAATCTTT